CCGGTGCAGATGCCACCCATAGGCAATGGAACAGCTGTCCTGATGCTTACCTTCTGAGCATCGCCCTGGGCTTGGAATTGGTGAATGGCTGCTGACTCCATTTCCTCCAAGGGCCTCCAAGGGGCAAAAAGGAGCTCAGAGGTGGCAGTGAAGCATGTCTGGCTGTGAAAGATGCCCAGACAGCACTGTCCACTCTTTTTAGTGGGCAAGTTATCCACAATTCTGGTCAGTGTGGAATAAGGCAAAGCCACAGTGAATTATGAGAATGCAGTTCTACTCAGACAACATCGAGAGAGGACCTACTATGTGTCAGACAGTAGCTTATCACAATGGACAAAACACACTCTGTACCCTCCAACAGCTCAAATTTTGGACTGTGTGGCCCATTACAGAAAGATGTTCTTTAAATAAAGAGGTTCATCGACAGAGAAGTTTGGGAAATGCTGCCAGTTCTGCTCTTGGGGATTTTCAATATGCGTTTGCTTATTAAGGGCACTAAAAAGTCCTCCGAGAGGGAAAACCTGCTTAAGTGGGGTTACCGCATATTTCCCCAATTTGTTTCTCTACTGAGCCCATGGAACCAGAGTCCTTGCACCCAATTTAGGAAAAGCAAGATGAGAAGGTATACCCAGCCATTGTAGAGCCTGGAAGCATGAACATCATGACCCGCCCCCAGGCCCTGGGGCAGGGCTGGCAAGAGCAGGATATTGGAGCCACCAAAAGGACTGGGACTCAGGCAGGAGCCTTGGTCCTCCAGGGAGACTAGAGCACCACCAGGAGCAGCCGTGTAGACTACTGTGAGTGTGTGTGTGTGCGCGAGTGTGCGTGCGTGTGTGTGTGTGTGGGGGGGGGGTTATAGAGTTGTGATCTCCATAGTAAAAAGCCAAATCTAGACACTGAGACCATGGGCGAGATGAAAGAGAGACAATGAGGTGGGGACACTGAGATACAATGAAGAACACCAGGACTCACCATACGGTACCCAGTTCTAGGTTCTGTGGACAATTTAATCGTGAGCACCTTTGTCTGAGGCCTTTGCCTGCTCTGCCGATTTGATAATAAAAGGCATCTTCCTAGAACACTAATGCACCAGGCACGGTACCAAGTTCTCTAATATGTTAGCCCATTAAATCTTTACAATAGCTAAGAAAAAAGTGTTACTAATATCCTCATGTCGTAAATGGGAAAGTGGGGCTGAGGGAGGGTTGAGTAATCTGCCTAAATTCACGTAGTAAAGGCCTGAACCTGGATGACCCACCCTTGGTCCCTCGAGTTGTTTTCTTCAATGCCACAGAGCCATTTACATGGCATAGGCACTGTTCAGTCTCCATAGAGGTGGCCTCAGAAGTAAATCCAAGTAGATTCACGTCTGGGTGGAGACAAAGGCAGGGCTTAAGACCAAGTTCACTTGCTCTCTATAATTCATTAAAATATAAAACATTTCGCCCTAGCCAGTTTGGCTCAGTGGATAGAGTGTCAGCCGAGGACTGGAGGATCCCGGGTTCAATTCCAGTCAAGGGCATGTACCTTAGTTGCAGGTTCGATTCCCGGTCCTGGTCAGGGCTCAAGCAGGAGACAGCCAATTGATGTGTCTCTCTCACATCAATGTTTCTCTCTCTGTCTCTTCCCCTCCCTTCCACTGTCTCTAAAAATCAATGGAAAAATATCCTCGGAGAAGGATTAACAGAGAAAAATAATAATTAAAAAAAAATAAAACATTTCTGTGTAACCTTGGGGACATTCCAGGGCAACCTTTTATTATATCATGTTTTCAAATCTGTAAAAAAAAAAAAAATTAAAAATTAATTTCCTGGTGAAAACTGAAAATTCATCAACCAGAGAGGCTTTTTTTTCTTCCTCTAATTATTTTAATGCAAACCATGACAGTTGAAAGCCATGATGACTTCATTTTTACACTCTTTTGCTTCTTTGTCTCTGACTTCAATTAAAGGCAGATGAAATAGGACACGGATTCCATCAACCAAGCATTCATTAGGCATTAACAGGGTGCAAGGCCCTGGGTCGGTGGTCGGCAAACTGCGGCTCACGAGCCACATGCGGCTCTTTGGCCCCTTGAGTGTGGCTCTTCCTAAGCCTTAGGAGTACCCTAATTAAGTTAATAACAATGTACCTACCTATATAGTTTAATTTTAAAAAATTTGGCTCTCAAAAGAAATTTCAATCATTGTACTGTTGATATTTGGCTCTGTTGACTAATGAGTTTGCCGACCACTGCCCTGGGTCGTGCATACTTAACCAGAGGCTGCTGGGTGTGTACTTGATGGGCTTGAGGCCTCCTTCCATGCCTTTGGCCACCAAGACCTCAGTCAGCACGTCCCTGGGTGAGATGGTGGGCCTGCAAGCTGCCTCTGTTTCTTACGGCAGTTCCCCTGAAGGCCTGTTTCCTAGACCAGGAAGGCAAGTCCGTGTCACTCTCCCCGTTAAGCTGATGGACTAGGAGTGGCCGCTGGACCACAGGGTTGAAAAAGAGCCCTGATCTGCCTGGCTGGTGTGGTTCAGTGATTGAGCGTCGACCTATGAACCAGGAGGTCATGGTTCGATTCCCAGTCAGGTCACATGCCTGGGTTGCAGACTCGATCCCCGGTGTGGGGCATGCAGGAGGCAGCCGATCCATGATTCTCTCTCATCGTGGATGTTTCTCTCTCTCTCCCTCTCCCTCCCTCTCTGAAGTCAATAAAAACATATTTTAAAAAAATTAAAAAGAGACCTGATCCCACAGTGAGACTCACTGGAAACAGTGCCAGCTGGTCTGCTGATATCTTCCCAAGGCCAGGGGCAAGGGAAGGGGGCCGCACACATTGTGGATTTTCTCTTCTGGCACTCAACCCTGCAGACTTCCCAGGGACAGTTTCACAAAGGAACCAAGAAGGGCAGGAAATGGGCCGTGATGCATCCGCCATTAGGGCAAGATTCGTGGAATTAGCTGAGACTGCTCCACAAATTGATCCAACCTGAGGGTGGTCAGAGTCCCCCTTGTTTGCCTGATCCATCGGACCTAGTGGCTGATCATCTGATTCCGATCGTGGGGAAAATAAACTGCCACTGCTGGTTTGAGAGGCACTGTTGTGTAAGTGAAAGGAATATCAGATGGTGGCTGAGCTGGGTGAATTCTATGCTTCCCTTAAGCTTCAGTGTTTTCTGTATGTGCACATTCCTGCTAGGAACAACAGGTCTATCGTCTGGGTCTCTTACCAGTTAGCTCACGCTCTGTGGGTCCAGAAGCATTCAAAATCGGGAGGTGGGGCTCCATATTCATAGAAGAGCAAACTGCCATGAACAATTATGGTTGGGCAGCTTACCCTGAGCTCTGATGGCTCACAATCGCCAGGATCATCAGGAAAACATGCCCGATTCTGCTCTAGACTGTGCTTCCATAAGTACTTATAATTACGATCCTTTTAAATTAAATTTTAATTGCAAAAGCAATATATTCTCCATGTGAAAAAGACCAAAACATTACAGACTGAGCCAAATCTTTCCTTATCACTATACCTGACCCCAGTTCCCTCTCCTTTCCCAAAGTTAACCGCCATAACTCATGTGAAATTCACCGTAATAGACCTTCTGTGCACTTACACCAGGGGTCCTCAAACTACAGCCCGCAGGCCACATGCAAATACAAATATTGTTTTTGTTTTTTTACTTCAAAATAAGATATGTGCAGTGTGCATAGGAATTTGTTCATAGTTTTTTTTTTAAACTATAGTCCGGCCCTCCAACGGTCTGAGGGACAGAGAACTGGCCCCCTGTTTAAAAAGTTTGAGGACCCCTGACTTACACACATAAACTGTGCCTGCAACATAGATGCACAAAGTATTGTGGAAATTTCTGTGTGTAGGCAGGTTCAAAAAAATGATACCACGCTATGGGTAACCTTCTTCAGCCTGATAGTTTTCACTTAATACTCCATCGTGGAGAGCCCTCGTGTTCGAAGACATTAGATCTACAACCTTTTTCAACAGCTGCAAAACATTTCTTAGTGTGGATGATGCCATCGCTCTAGTCATTCCTCTGTGCTGAGCAGTTAGGTTGTTTCCCAGTGTTTCCGCAGATGGATAATCTTTCCCTGAACACCTTGAAAAACACCCCTCATGCGAGTGTTTCTCCAGGATAGGTGCCAAGAGGGTGAATGATTTTTTTTTACTAGTTGCTGCTCAGTTGTCCTTGAAAGTGACTATAACTAATTCCCCTTCACACCAGTTGTGTGTGAGCAAGACCCCATATCTGATACCCTTCTCACCCCTTGGCATATCAAATAGTCCTCATGTCACCCTCGTCTTTATAGTGTCTTTATATCTAAAGTGCCCAAGACAGTGTGGCTGACACACAGACGGTGAGCCACTAACATTGGCTCACATTCCTTTAGCTGGAATATCCTTTCCCATTGCGGTTCCCCCTCCCCTCACCTCCACCTGCTCACCCCCAGGCATCTGCACAGGGGCCTCTCCTGAGCTCCGGGTTAGGTGAGGTTGTTCTGAGTCCAGCAATGCCCTCTCTCACTGCAGTCGATGAGCTGTATTACTTTTACATTTTCATGTGCCATCTCTCCTACTAACCGCTGACCTGCTAGACACCATGGAATGGGCCTTTTTGCCTCTCTGTTTCCCCAACACCTGGCCCTGGACCCCACGCCTAGTCGGCCTTCAATAAAAGATTTAAAATGAAGGCCATTGTCACGGAGCCACATCCTCAACAGAATGAAAGCCCGTGAAAATGAACAGTGTATCGGCAGAAGGAGAAATTAAGCTGTCAATCTGCTGAACAGCAAAGATTTCTGTATTTCAGGTCTTTTAACGTGATGGAGCGGGAGGGAGGGGACTAAAGGTAAAACATAACAGAGCTGGAGAAAGGCTGTCCATTTTTAATCTGGAAAGCAATTAGCATGTCACTTCATTGCCATTGCCTGGGTGGGGGACAGGGCCTCTGCCTGTCGCTGTCTCCGAGTGACCATCTGCTGTCCTTCTGTCCTGCCCACTCAGGGACCACAGTGATGCGGATGACAGCCTTCGACGCGGACGACCCGGCCACAGATAACGCCCTCCTGAGGTATAATATCCGCCAGCAGACGCCTGACAAGCCGTCTCCCAACATGTTCTACATCGATCCTGAAAAAGGAGACATCGTCACCGTGGTGTCACCGGCACTGCTGGACCGGGAGGTGAGCTGAAAGGCACACATCTTCTTCAAGTGTGGCTGTCACGTGAGGGAAGATGCGGGGCTTTATGCCATAAAGGTGGAAATGAGATATTTACACAGGGCGGCGTGGGAAAACCTATAAAGGGAAATGGGGTATTATATGAACCCAAAACACACACTGTCAGCTCGAATTATTTGAGTTCGTTTAAACTGATGCCTCTGTGTCCTCAGCAACCACTTACTCTGAGCCCTGGTGATCATGGACCCCAAACCTCACCTCTCTGCCATGAGGGTGAGGGAGGGGGAGGGAGGAAAGACGGGGAGGGGGAGCTTTGTCCAAGATCAGTGATGGTCTCCCGTCACAGCAGGTGGCTTCGCCCTCGTTGCTCCCTCACACCCTCTGCTGCGCACACTTTCCCCGGGGCCGCCTTTCCTTCGGTCTCCGCTTGTCCCCCTTGAGGTTGTCCCTGCGACACCTCATCGGCTTCTGGGTCAGATGTCACAGACAGGTGGCACATGGACCTCACCGGTCCGTGCTCTTGCTCTGGTTTATCCCAGGGTGTTTTAAACTTTTCACCTTAGTTGCCATGTCAAAGTATTTAGATTTTATGTTTCTTTTTAAAAACTCCAACTTCTGGCCTTTCTGGAAGTCAGAAATTCTGGAAATTTGGGGCCCGGTTTCCGCATGTGGATACTTGGTAACATCAGATGTAAGGGTTACATGGCAGCTGCCCCAGTCAGGTGGGCCGTGTGCTTCTGCTCAGGTATGAGCCCTCCTCCGTGTGTCCCCTGGCCCTGCCCTTCCTCCTGAGCCCCAGGTCACTGCAGACTACCCTCAGCGGAAAAGCCTCTCGACACTTCCAACACAGAGTACCAAACCTTGGGGGTTCCCACCCACCCATTTACCCAACAGCCCCTCTGCCCAGCCCAAATCTGCCCTCCACCACCACCCTGGCATTTCTTGCTCCCGACCTGGCATCACCCCACAAGCATGAGTAGCGACCTGGACCTTCTACAAGTACCCTGCCTTGCAGTCACCGCTGGGTTTCCCTAATGGGTTCCATGCATATTCCCCTTGGTGTTTCTGATTAAACAGATCTTGGGTCGGAAATGCCTTCTCCTCTCCTTTCTGCTTCCCCTGCTATATCACAAGTACTGGTTGCACACACCTCCTCAGAGAAGCCGTCCTCCTCCACCTGAGTCTTCCACGGGTTCTTTCTCTAATCTCGGCCTGTGCTCGCCCGTGGCCATCACATGGCGTTTTCCATAAGCTCCTTTAAGTTGTCATTTGTCTCCTTAAAGAATATCCCCTTCTTCTTTGTCTAGACCTGTGTTGTCCAATGTGGTACCCACTAGTCACATGTAATTATTTAAGTCTAATTTTCAGCAATTGAAATTAAATGTAAAAAGGTTCTCAGTCAGACTAGGCAGGTGTCAAGTACTCAGCAGCTTCATGTGGCCAGTGGTACTGTATTGGCCAGAACAGACGTAGAATATCACCATCAACATAGACAGTCCTGCAGGCAAGGCTGGCCTAGGCTGTAAAGTACTTGAGAATAGAGACTGTGATCACAGGCGTGTGGGTATCCCCATGGCCTGGCATAGTTTGAGCACTCCTAAAAAATTCTAAATATATGGGCTTTGGTGTATAGACAAGAATGAATGGAAAGGAGGCTAAGATTTTTACACTTCAGAGTGGGAAACAGTAGCTAGAAATGGGAAATTATTGCCAATGAGGGTGAGAATGAAATTTGCATAGAAACTATGGTTGTCACTTGAAAAAAGGTGATTGTTTCCATTTAAAAATAGAAAAGCAGGGGAAAAAAAGAACAGACTGAGTCAATTTCCTTCATTTTCTCTCCTATTCTCTTTTCAACCCTCCCTAGTATGTGGCTGCCTGACTGCCATACTATCTTCTTTGGAGGCAAGTAATTACTTTCCAACTCTATCATCCACCCAGGACGCCTGTGCGTACACACACACACACACACACACACACACACACACACACAACGCAGTGATTTTTCCATCTCAGTTCTCCTTTTACTGATAGAAAAGGTTTTGTCTCTATTTATAAATCAAAGTGATAACATAGTGGATTATTCCATTTTTTAAGGTTTGTTTGGCGACAGATGTGTTTCAAGCTCATTATCTTTTCATGTGGGTTTTGGCTAAGTTGCAATGAGTGTATAATTATGGGAGTTGAATTAAGCACTTCTAGCCACATACATAAACAGCTCCAAAAAAAAAAAGCGACCAACACAATTTCACTGAAATTGGAAAATCAATGGAAATGAGTGAAGAATGTCACTTTTCTGTGAAGGTTCCCAGAGTTCAGTGCTGACCCAGCAGCATCCTCAAAGGAAGCGTCCTGGGCGTAGGCAAGCGTCGCCTGTGTACTTGTGCCGCTGTAGCTACTTGTCGGCAAGCTGCTGAAGGATGAAATGAGACTCCGAGTCACTCATCTTTAAAGGGACAGAACTCACACAGCAGACAGACCTCTAGTTGGGGTTGCCCACAGTTTGCAATGTTTTCGTCTCACTGCCCTCCTGTACGTATGGCAGGTTCCCTCAGCAGGACTGGCAATTACTTTTCATTATTTCTGGACACCTTCCGAGTAAGCTCCTGTCTTAGGTGTGGTTTTAAACGTCTACTTTGGGACCATCTGGGCAGAATGTTTAACACAGATTAATGTCAAGAAAATATCCCATTGAGGGAGCCCAATGAACTTTGCATGATTCCAAGTGGTTTTAGGTTTAGTCACCCTGTCTTCACTCACGGTACCTCAAATAGTATATTTGGGGGTTGGATGCTGTGAGTGTAAACAAACAGGTCAGGGACCCCTGGGGAGCCAGGGCCCCTGAGGTTGTACAAGCAGTTTGCTCCCCTCCGGCCCCCACCTTGGTGGGAGTGGAGGCTCTGGAAACACACCGGCTGGTTGACATGCACTCAAATGATATGATATAAATTTTTCATTTTGATTTTCCATTAGAACCTTTCCTTTTATGAGTACTCCAAGGAGTCGGCATGCACTGTTTTCTGAGAACTTGCCTGTTTACCTTCCCTGCCTTTCACGTTTTTAATTTGTAATAAAACTTGTCAATGAGGGCAGTCAAGGACACCAGTAAATAATCATTTTTAAAATTTATTTTTCAGTTATAGTTGACATATCATATTGTATTCAGGTGTACAACATAGAGATTGGACAGTTATATACCTTATGAAGTGATCACCCTGATAAGTCTCATACCCACCTGACAGCACACATACTAGTATTTATTACAGTGTTATTGACTATATTCCCTAGGCTGTACTTTATATCCCACCACTTTATTTATAACTGGCAAGTTGTACTTCTTAATCCCTTTCACCTTTTTTTGCTCATACCCCTTCCCACCTGGCAACCATCATTTTGTTGTCTGTATCTGGGAGTTTGTTTCTGTTTTGTTCTTTTGTTTGTTTTGTTCTTTAGATTCCACCTATAAGCGAAATCATATGGTATTTGTCTTTCTCTGTCTGACTTATTTCACTTAGCATAACACCCTCTAGGTCATCCATGTTGTTCCAAATGGCAAGATTTCTTTTTCACAACTGAGTAATATTCCATTGTGTCTGTGTGTGAGTGTATCACTTCTTTACCCATTTATCTATTGATGGACATTGAGGTTGCTTTAATGTCTTGGCTATTATAACTAATGCTGCAGTGAACATAGGGGTGCCTATATCTTTTTGCATTAGTGTTTTTCATTTATTTGAATAAATACCCAGAAGTGGAATTCCGGGTCATATGGTAGTCCTGTTTTTAATTTTTTGAGGAACCTCCATACTGTTTCCCATTGTGGCAACATGTTACCATTGTTATTGTTGTCCTCTCTTCTTCCAACCCTCACTCCCCAGGATGTTCCAAGTGGGGCCAGCTGAGGCAGGCACCCTCACGGAACTGCTCCTTCCACATTTCCAGGAGAAAGGGCTTTTATCTGGCTTGTTCCCTGACATATCCCCAGTCCTTACACATGTGAGATGCTCAAAACTATTGTGTTGAGGGATGGAAAGAAGGATGTGAGGAAGAGAGTGGCAGGCAGCATGGAGTTTATGCCATATCTGTGTGCATAGGCTGCTGTCCGGCAGGATAACGAGGGTCCAGGTCAGCTGATGCTGCTTCTCTCTTAATTTCCTGGTATGTTTCGGGTGGTGCAGCCTCTGGACCCAGTGCGAATTCAGGGGCAAGACCACACTCTCTCACCCACTCTGAGCAATGGGAAAATGCTGGAAGGCAGCCCACCTTCTGAGTACCCATAACTGACCCCCCTCTACCTTCTAACCACAGTCATCAGCTGACCTGGCTGCCCATTTGACAGGCCAGCATTGCCCAGCAGCTGCCATCCAGTGAGTGGACTGAGAAGTGAGCTCTCCTTGAGATGTCCCTCCTCCACTGAGCAGTGACCTTGGGGAGAACAGGAGGACTCTGTGGAAAGTGATAGGGACAGTGGAAGTGACAATGGAAGGAAGGAAGGGAGGAAGGAAGGAAGGAAGGAAGGAAGGAAGGAAGGAAGGAAGGAAGGAAGGAAGGAAGGAAGGAAGGAAGGACAGATGAGCAAATATCTAACAGATTGTCTGAGAACTTACTGCAAGACCCACATTCTAGCATGGGCATGTAAACAGAGGAAATTATTTTATTGAGTTGAGAGCTTGGTCGTGTCCTTGTGTACTCATCCAGTAATCGAATTTTTTCACCTTACACCTACCTTGTGTCAGGAACTGCGCTAGGCTCTAAAAACTACCATAGAATGAGATGAGCATGAAGATCTGTGTCTCTTGCTTAAATGTTTGGCGAAACATTTGGAGAAAGTAAGAGCCATATATCTTACTAAACAAAATTGGGTTCATTTGGGGCACCGTTTCATTCTTTTCTATAAGCATACTCAGCCCCTCATTCTGACGGCTCTGTCTATGGTTTTAAACTATGTCTCTCTGCACTACAAAATAAAATCAGATAAAGGCCTCTAACGTTTGATAAATGGC